TTTCCTCTCCACCGTTTGCTCAGGATGGGAGACTGTGATGAAGTGATTCAACACAATCTGCTGCTTTCTTCTTTACATTGTTCTTTTCATGTACAGTGTCCTGAGACAACGTATGTTGTGACTCGGTGCTGTATAAATAAACTTAAACTTGATTTTTAATTTGCCTTCAGTAAGTGATCAGAATCAGTTTTATATTGTCAATGAAAAGGTTTCACAGACCAGGAGTTTGCTTCGGTGTAAAAGGTGCAAAGTATAACATTTAACAAATAAAGAAAATACAAATGATAAAGTAAACAAAATATATAAAACATATGTATAATGTTCAATTCAATAATCAGAGCAGACATTATAGTTGGAGTTGTAATGGAACTAATACTATTAGGTTTAAGCCAGTAATTCATGACATCCTTTAATGACCCAGGTTTTCATGACCTGCTGTTCATCTGCAGATAGAATGATTAAAGTCASAACAAGATCTGCTAACAACAGTCATTCTTAGATATCACTTGTGTTTATCTTTGTGTTTTCCCTTGACCCAGCATTTCCTTAGGATGAAATCTTGCTTTATTAAGAGGACATAATAGTGTTTGTTAAACAGTATATACGGTACGAGGCCTCAACTGCCTCAAACGAAGCAGGAGCAGAGAGCAGGGGGGCAGTTCAATGGCTTTATGTTCTCTGTGTTTCCTGCTGTTGCAATAAAACTCAGCTGATCGTCCCACAGACTACCTTCATTCTTGGACCATGTATTTCTGTCTTTGTTAAATAAATATTTCCATAACAGGAGTGATGCAATTAGATCCAGTGATAAAAGAGAGATCCTTCTTAGCTACCACCACACCAAATTTCAGCCAAAAATGTCTTAAACAAGCAGAGTTATTGCAGTTTCAAATTAGCTCTGGCGGCCATCTTGAATTTTTGTTTAGCAATCAGAATTTGTCAAAGCTTGTTCTTGGCTGCAACTATACCAGTTCTCACCTCTTTAAGTCTTAAAATGACTGAATTAGAGCCTTTTCATATTAGCATTAGCAGTTAGCTTAAACTTGTGATTAGCAGCTCTCCTGTATTTTTAAATATAAATTTTGTTTACAGACTTAATAATAATAGTAACAACAACAACAACAACAACAACAACAACAACAACAACAACAACAACAACAACAACAACAACAACAACAACAATAAAAACAAAATAATAATAATATTATATAGTTTTATTTATATTTGATATGTTTTCCTGTTCCAGCATTAAATGTTCTTTAGAAATTAAAGTTTAGGTATCTTTAAGAGGACGTACCTGAATTATTAGCCGTTAATATTATAATTTAAAATGGTCTCCGAACAATATTATCATTTATCGCAATAATTTGAGACTATTTATCGTGACGGGCTGAATCAGAAGATTCCAGGAAATAGAAGACAGAAAGTGAGTGGAGGCGGAGCCTAGAAGTGGGCGTGTCTGTGTGAAAACAGCCCAGACAGTTGTAAAAATGATGGAGCCCTGCCAACAACAACAGCTGACGTGCCGGCAGAAACAAATCACTCACAAGGAAGCCGAAGACCACGGTGAAGAAGAAGCCCCCGATGAAGCCCTCCCAGGTCTTCTTGGGCGAGAGCTGCAGGGGCAGACAGAAGAGAACGTCAGCATGACTCAGCGTTATTTCTCCTCTATCTGAAACATGAATTCACCTTGATGAGCGGAGTTCTCCCGAAGAAGAAGCCAAACAGGTAGGCTCCGATGTCGTTGGAGATCACGATGGAGATGGGAACGATAAACCTGGAAGCAGGAAGTTTGGTCAGGAGAAGGTTTGTGGCGTTGAAGTGTGTTAAAGTATTTGTTTTGCTGCTTTAACAATAAGAAGCGAGGTGACGGCGAGCGACGACACGACAGAGGCAGACACCTGCCTGATCGGTGTCCTGCTTACCAGATCATTCCTTCAAACAGGTTCTGAATGACAAGGTGGGACTGAGTTACCACAATCAACAGGGTCACATGGGTCCAAGCAAACTGGAATGGAAAACACAAAAACACAGAGAGACACACCACAGTTTCACTGCACTGAATGTAGCTGCGCCTCTTCAGACGTGAGTCACAGAATACAGGATCAGAACAACGAGGTCAACATGAGGCTGAGAGGAGCCGTGCTGCAGAGTGACATCATCACACGCTCAGGACAGTGACATCATCACACACTCAGGACAGACAGAGTGACATCATCACACGCTCAGGACAGACAGAGTGACATCATCACACGCTCAGGACAGACAGAGTGACATCATCACACGCTCAGGACAGACAGAGTGACATCATCACACGCTCAGGACAGACAGAGCGACATCATCACACACTCAGGACAGAGCGACATCATCACACACTCAGGACAGAGCGACATCATCACACACTCAGGACAGTGACATCATCACACACTCAGGACAGTGACATCATCACACACTCAGGACAGTGACATCATCACACACTCAGGACAGTGACATCATCACACACTCAGGACAGAGCAACATCATCACACACTCAGGACAGAGCAACATCATCACACACTCTCAGGACAAAGCAACATCATCACACACTCAGGACAGAGTGACATCATCACACACTCAGGACAGAGCAACATCATCACACACTCAGGACAGAGCAACATCACACACTCAGGACAGAGTGACATCATCACACACTCAGGACAGAGTGACATCATCACACACTCTCAGGACAGAGTGACATCATCACACACTCTCAGGACAGAGTGACATCATCACACACTCTCAGGACAGCGCGACATCATCACACACTCACAGGACAGAGTGACATCATCACACACTCTCAGGACAGAGTGACATCATCACACACTCACAGGACAGCGCGACATCATCACACAATCAGGACAGAGTGACATCATCACACACTCAGGACAGAGTGACATCATCACACATGCTCAGGACAGAGTGACAGCAGGCAGGAAGTGGAACATTCACACAGGAAGTTTGGGAATGTGCGTGCACATTAAAGACAAACATTAAACTCTAATGTTGCAGCAAAATTGAACCACTACAGATTTTCACTAAAATATGCATTTTAATCATTGCTCCGTTTGTTTTAGGACCCAGCACGGTCACTGAGTTGGAATGTTGCACCATATGGACCTGATTAACACAGTTCCTCACTGCAAGAAGGTTCTGGGTTCAAGTCCCGACTTGGACTTGTTCTGTGTTTAGTTTGAACGTTCTTGGGTTTGTGTGGTTTTTCACACAGAGGTCTGTGATTGGATGGGAGTGGTCTGGTTAAATAAAGGTTAAAAAAACAGAGAAATTTTGTTTTTCAGCTTTTATGAAAAATATATATTCAGTTTGTTTTTTTCAAAATAAAAAAAGTTGGTAGGTAGGTTGGTAGGTTGATCAATTGGTAGGTATAGGTAGGTAGGCAGCAGTATTTATCTTGCATCGCTCAAAGATTAGAACATGTTGCAGTTCTTACAGAAACTACTGGCTGCTGATGGTTCTTTAACAACATAAAGCATAAAGATCATTTTCTTGTCAAACATCATGAAAAGCAGGAAGCAGGAAGCAGTGGAGAAGTGATGCAGAGGAAGTTAGCATCATGTAGCGGGGGGGGGGGGTTACTTTGCTGATACACACCATGTAAAACTGCAGGCGGTAATGTTTCTTCACTAAACTCAGCACAAACATGCAGAAACCTGTGAAAGAGTAAAACATGCTGTCAGTTCCTGTTGGAAAGAAGCTTCTGTTTGAACATCCTGGCTCTCTTTGACCTCAGCAAGTCTCTGGTGACACTGATGAAAAGCCTCGCTGATAAAATTGATTACGTTAATGAGAAAATGGCCTCTAAAGAAGTCAAAACAGCTGATTAATAATCATTTTCATTTTCAAGGGCATCTCAGGAAACACTGATAAAGTCTGAATACTGGAAAACACTGGATATTTGAATCTTTAACTTTATTTTAATTAAAAGGTACTCACTGCAGAGTGATCAAATCCAGATAAATGTGTCAGATGTTTGTTTATCTACACAAACTACAGTCAGCCTGACCTCAGATTTACATCGTGTCAAACTCTACAATAAAAACTAACTTTATAGTCAATGACAGCTTTTACATCACCTCTGCAGGCCGGCGACGTTTGTCAAAATAAATCAAAGACTACAATTTGTTGAAATTCTAATTATATTAATAAAATTATGTGTATATTTATACAAACATGCTGTCTAAATGTATCATGTCTTTTATGGCTGTGTACTGGCAACAAACTGGTGATATGATTATGTCATGACCATATTATGATATATTATGATATATTGTGATATTGTAAGCGAGGTGATGAATCACCATTTATTTCTCCCAAATTAAAAAAAACTCAATATAATCAGAAAACACTGATCAAAAGTGAGAACTGAATTTATATTTCTTCTTACATCCACCTATTAAGCTTTAATTAAAAATTGATACAATATTGGAAAATGAAATATCGCGATATTTCTGTATATCGATACTTTTTTAAAATTTACTTTTATTTGTAGATTATTGTTTGAATTTATTCTTGGGGAAAAAAAGAGCCGATATAATATTTATTTCTTCTTTCTGCTGCCTTTCATTTCACTTTGTTCATGAATTATTCATGTACCCACATCGAACCGTTCAATACAGTGCTTTAGGTTCAGTACACACTTTTATGGAACAATACAGATTTTATTTATTTATTTCATCAACTTGTCTTCTGAAGATGCTCTGTGTTGAAGGATCAGTGGATCTGTGTTCGACTACTCCACCTAGGCTGCATTGTTGAGCTCAGATCCACTGAGAAACTTGCTGTTTCAGCAACATTTAATTTAAAAACTGTACTTTTGAGGTTAAACAAATGTTCATAATTAATTTAAATAAATTACAAGTTAAAAGGGGTGTGGACATTTCTCTTTTTTGTGTTGAAAAAATATCAAAGCGTGAGACTAAAGTATCGAACCACATTTTTGTATTTGAGTTCACTCTTTGCAGTGAGTCCCTTTAACAAACCAGGTAATGTTTAAAAACTTTAAAAAACCTGATCTGCTGTGTTTGTGGCTCGCTGCGTTAGCAGGACACGAGCTCCACAGGCTTCACTCAGACCAGGCGACCAGCCTCACCTGCCAGGTACAGAGCGAAAGAGATGAAGCGGTGATAGCGAGACAGGAACTGCAGAGGCTCCTCCCTCTGCACCAAAGCTCCGAAGTAATCTGCCAGCGTTTCACCGTAGAAGAAGTAGTTGACACAGACCAGGAAGTACCTGAGGCAGAAAACAAGGCAGCTTTGAACACCAAATATCACTTCCTGTTTGGATCTGTTGGGACTTTTGGTGAAGAAAAATGCAGCTCTTTGATGTGTGGGCGGGTCTTTGTTAATTGTACATTGACCTGTTAGAGGTGTGTTTGTGTGTGTGTGTGTGTGTGGGGGGGGGGGGGGCTTTGGTGACATTTGGGGGCAATTTTAAGACAAAAATCCTACATTTTGCTGCTTGGTGAGGATGATTTTTCAGGAAAATGCAGCCTTGTGGGGACTGAGTGCACCTTGTGGGGACCAAAGCCCGGTCCCCACGACTTCGGAGGATGATATTGGGTGGAGTTTTGGAGATTTTTTTTTCCAAACCGGAGTCTGAAAAACTTTTGTTTTCTTGTAAACTGTGGAGATGAAAAGATGTGGACGGTTGCTTGCTCTTATGTTCATCGTGCTAATTTACCAGTCAGGTTCTGCAGATCATTTCAGCAGCAGGAGAAAGCTCACGTGTAGGGCAGGCCGCTTTTACACTTAATCGGCTTCACCAGTTACATCGAGGTATCTGAAATTGGTTCTTCTGGGTCTCAGGAGGATAGGACTAGACATATTAGATATTTAACTGAAAAAATAAATACGATTC